TGAGAAAATAGGATGTTTATATGCAGAAAAAAATGAAAATGAACCCCTACCTCACACTATGTACAAAATTAATTTGAGGCAGATCATGATTTGAAAGTGAAAGCTAAAACAAACTTTTAAAAGAAAACATAAGAGAAAATCTTCAGAGTTTCAGGGATTAGGTAAAGATTTTCTTAGGACAAAATACAGTAATGAAAGAAAAAGTTGACAAATTGCACTTCATTAAAATTAAGAACTTCATTGCAAGGATGGAAAAACAAACAAAACATGTACTCACCATTAAATTAATACTAATCAACCAACACTTATGTGCACATATGGAAGTAACATTCATCAGGGGGATCAGGCAGGTGGGAGGGGGAAGGAGGAGATGGGTAAAGTCACACCTCATGGGTGTGGTGTGTGCTGTCTGGGGTATGGGCACCCTTGTAGCTTTGACTCAGGTCATGGAAAGGCAATTTATGTGATCAAAGCATTTGTACCCCTGTAGTATTCTAAAATTTTAAAAAATAATAAAATAAAATTAAAAACTTCTGTTCATCAAAAGATATCATTGAGAATATGAACATGTAAAGCAAAGAGTAGGAGAAGACGATCATAGATACAACAAAGGACTTATTTCTAAAATATAAAAAGAACTCCTAAAATAAAAGAGGAAAAGGCAGATATTCCAATAGGAAAATGGAAAAAGACTTGAACAGGCACTTCTATAAGGAGATACTTTAATGGCTAATGACCAGATGAAAAAAGTATTTTACATCATTATATGTTAAAAAGGTGTTTAGCATAATTACAAATTAAAACTATGAGACCACTACACATTTCATCAAAAGTACTGAAACAAAGCAAAATAAAGCAAGCAAAACAAGCAAACAAACAAAAATCAATGACAGTTCTAATTATTGGTAAGGCTGTAAGGCAACTCGAAATTTTATATACTGCTAGTGGGAGTGTATACTGATACAAATACTTGGAAACCTATTGGAAACATCTAATAAAGCTGAATATATTCATATCCAGTGGCCCAGAAATGTCACATATAGGAATAAACTCAACAAAAATATGTATATATGCACACCAAAGTACTTTGAATTAAATTAAACCAGTTGAGGATTTGTTTTTATCCATTAAATGGGTAATCAATCCATAGATCTAATCAACAATTTTTATCTCCTGGAGTGTTGACTATACTGTGTTACACAAATATTCAGCTCAGGAATATACTTTTCAGCTACAAAGTACAAATTCCACTTCAGTCATATTTTTGGTTGAGAATGCCAAAAGAGTGGGAATATGTGTCTGGGTTGGTTTTTGCCAAAAGCATATTTTACTATAGGTCTAATAGCTAGAAGCTAACTCAGAATCAGCATCAAAAAGAAGTGTAAAGGCATAGATTGATCAGAGGAAATGACCTTGGATGTTGACTAAAAGAAATTTACTTTAAAAATTTACTCTTATGGTGATGATACTAAATGACCATGTGACTTTGAGTCAAATGCAACAAGAAATCACCAAGGGTTTGAGGATTCTGGCCAATTAATATTTTTTTTTAGTGGTTTAAGATTATTTATTATTATCTTTCACATTTCTGTGGGTTAACTGGCTCAACTGGGTGGTTCTTGCTTGGGGTCTCTCACATTATTGCAGTCAGACAGCAGCTGGTATTGGTGTCATCTGAAGGCTCAACTGTGTTGGACACCCACATGGTCACTCACATGGCAGGCTGTTGGCGCTGTTGGCTGTTGGGCAGAAGTGTCCTCTGGCCAAATAAATTAAAGCTCTCTTTTGGTGAATGATTTTATTATGAGAGCAGCTGAACTAAAAAATATAAGGATAAAAGATAATGAAAAATAATAGACTATAGAAAGGCTCTATTACTGACCAATGAGGTTTCCTTAGAGATTGAGAACCTTTTCCTGTCTCTTTGAAAAAGGGTTGGCAGAAGCATTCTAAAAAGGGACAGAGGAATTAATGTCATTTTACCCAGCATGCTTTCTCTTCTTTTAATTTCCCTTAACGTATATTTGCATGGCTCTTTTTTGCTTCCTTGAGGGTATATTCATATTCTGAAATTTTATGTTTATCTTGCCTTTCTTATTCAAATAATATTCTGCCTCAATTTGAATATTTGACAGGGATACGAAGAGGACAGAGTTTACCCACTGCATTTAATGCCTAGTTCTTCTTTCTCCTTCCAACTTTTGTACATTTTTTTCTTTCAGAAAAAGATTTAATATATTTACTCATTGAAGGGCAAAATTTGCTTCTGATAATGCTTTATGTATGCATCACATAATTGCATTTAGTTACTAATAAAAAAAGGACACAACTAAGGTGGCTTCAGCACATAAGGGTTTATTTTTCTCACATAAGGAGAGGTCTGGAAGCCAATAGTTGATGGCTTTGGTACAGTGGCTCAGGGTCTCTTATTATCTTGACCTTTCCCTTATGGGTCTAAGATGATTATTCCTGCTCCTACTTTTACACCTGTGTTCCACGAAGGAGAAAGCAGGAAGGTTGAAAGGAAGGAGGTCAGCCAAGTCAGCCCATCTTGAAGAGTTTTTCCAGAAGCCCTTCCTAAGGATTCCTGCTACATGTGTCCGAACTGTGACACATGACATCCATGGCTATAAAGGAGACTAGTTTTCTGGTCTTTTAGCAAGGCACAGTGCCATCCAGAATAAAATTGAGGCTTTCTTAGTATGAAGGTAGGGAAGAATGGACTTTGGCTAGCAATCAGCTGTTCCTGCCACATATATTTTCTTATTGGTTGTCTACTAGGGAATCAAGCTTAAAGTCAAATGCATGAATCTCTAGCTGTAGAATTTTAGGCAGGGAGTAGGAAGCATTGTTTGTGGGTGGTGTTTTTAGTGGGATCCTAAATTCTCATGATGTGGACAAGAGCTTATTCTATTTCTTCTTAAGGCCGGTCCCCATAGAGGTATGATTTAGAATGACTGTGTAACTTGAAATCTTTTATCATTGATTATTACTTTATAATAGATTGTGCTGCTTTACCTCTATGGTTGAGAGATGGCTGGAGGAGGTAGAGGAAAGAGTGCTAAGGGAAGTGAAGGAGTGACTCTTTGTGACTCCAATTACTGCTTCATAGACTGGATGAGGCAAACATAGGTGGTGGCACAGGTGGGCCACTCTTAGCAAAGGTAGCATCAAAAATAGAAGGGAGAAAAATCTTGGTATTGAAAGAATCATTAAACTGGATCTAAAAAGATACCAGTGAATTTCCTATAAACTGTTACTTTCCAGAAGACTATGGTTGTGCCACTGGTATGGTTCCAAGGAATACAGGGACTAGTACAGGAAGTGCTGTCCTCTCTAGGTACTTCTGGTACTCACCAGGAGAACTCTTATATTTCCAAAGATGAGCCCTGGCTACTGTATGACACAGTCTAGGTGGGCTGCAACTCCATAACTTTAGGAACTATGGTTCCACAGAGTGCTTCTCCAGGGCTAAATGTGTCTCTTCGCCATCACTGTGGATGGTGCCACGCTGCCACCTGGACACCACTGGAGCTGGAACTCTCCAAGTCTGTGAACATGGATCATACCTGCTGTGCCTCAAGGCTGGAGATTCTTATTGTTCTATTTGCAAATTGAGAAGGGAAAGGCTTCCTACCTGTTATGTTCAGTTGTAGGCAGTCCCACATCAAGCCTTCTTGACCCTCTGGCCCCTCTCAAAAAATTACAGAGAGTAATATAATTATTTAAACTTATTCACATAGCCCCTTTTGTGTCGGTGTAAATCTAAGCCTCTAGGTGGACTATGTCTAGGTGAGTTCCAGTATCAGCCATTGTATTTGTTGGAAGGACCACTCACCATCGGCAATCAGGAACTATTGCTGGCTCTAACTTTTCTCTTCCTCCCTTGTGGTAAATTCTCTCAGGATTTCCTTTTTTATCTGATCTCCATTGAAGCAACCCAACATGTCTGTGTATAAATCTGATTCGCATGGTGATCTGGGGTTGATTTTTTCTTTTCAGTGGAGGCTCATTAGAAACTCTATAAATCAGGAGATCTACATAAATGGGTATGCCCATGATATGGTTTGGATGTTTGTCTCCTCCAAATCTCGTGTTGAAATTTGATCCCCAGTGTTGAATGTGGGGCCTGGTGGGGGGTGTTTGGGGCATGGGAGTGGATCTCTCATGAATGGCTTGGTGCCCTCCCCACAGTAATGAGTGAGTTCTCACTCTATTAGTTCACAGGAGATCTGGTTGTTTAAAAGAGCTTGGTACCACCCCTCCCTCTCTCCCCTCCTCTCGCTGTGTGACACACTTGTTTCCCTTCACCTTCTGCTGTGACTGGAAGCTCCCTGAAGCCCTCACCAGAAGCAGACGCTGGTGCCATGCTTCTTGTACAGTCTGCAGAACCAAGAGCCAAATAAACCTCTTCTCTTTATAAATTAGTCAGCCTCAGGTATTTCCTTTTAGTGACACAAACAAACTGAGACAGCCCATTACACTGAAAACTTAAAAAACACTAAAAGCCTAAAAGTACATCATTTTACTTCAGAATTGTCTTAACCCATTCAGGCTGCTATAACAAAATACCTTAGATTTGGTCATTATAAACAACAAATATTTATTTCTCACAGTTCTAGAGGCTGGATAATCTAAGATCGAGGCACTAGCAGATTTGGTGTCTGGTGAGGGCTCACTTTCTGCTTCATAGATGGCACCTTCGTGCTGTGTCCTCATATGCAGAAGGGGTGAACAAGCCCTCCCAGGCCTCTTTTATTAGGCACTAATCCCATTCATGAGGGCTCACTCTCATGACCTCGCCACCCCCAGAGTTTCCATTTAATACCATCACATTGGGGATTAGGATTTCAACGTATAAATATTAGGGGAGGACACAAACATTCAGACCATAGCAAGAACATGCCATGTTTTCAATAATATTTAACCTTTGACTAATTGAGTTCTGGCCACCAAACATATACCATTAGTAGGAGGAAACCCAGGAAAGAAATAATCTACCTTGGTTACTCACAGTGGATATGTGTATCAGTAATGGTAGAAAAATCCACGTAATCTCACCTGTTGCCCACCAATGATTCTGAATAATTTGAAGAATGAAAAATAGGAGAGGCAGATATAGAACCAAAATATTACCTCTATTACTGATAGAAATGAGATGGGAGGGTGCAATTTTATGCCTATAGACAAGACTTATAGGAAGACTTACGTATCCAGTGACTACCCTGCTGGGCGGGGGTGGGCCAGGAGGAGGAAGAGCATTGCCAAGGGAAGCATGGCTGGTTTTCCTTCCAAAGGTATCACATCATTCTACCTCATTGGGGGGAGTGTAAGTGAAGGCCTGTGAACAGCCAGGTATGCCTTTAGGGAAGCCCCTGTGGCACTGGGAGTGGGCAATGGCTTCTCCTTCTAACACTCGCCTGCTGCTTTAAAGGTGATGGGGCAGCTCTTATACTATCCCACAACCAGTTGTGTATTCACGTGTTTGCTTTTCCTACCTCATTTGCGGTTTCCTAGATTTTCTTCCCACCTTGAGGCCTGAGAACTCCATTCTCATGCTCCCTTCACGATCATGAAGTGCTCAGTTGTCATAAGTGTGGCTTTGATGCCGTTAGACACCATCTTCCCCTCAAAATATTTTCTCCCTCTGTGACTCTGAGAAAACCTCCCATTCAGAAGCAAGCTCCATGGTGGGGGACGTAGTGAAGTGGATCAGCGAGAAGCTGCAGGGGCCCCAGGGAACTGTACTCCACTTCAAAGGCCATTTGCCCACCGAGCCGAGCCCTCCTTTCACTCCTGGCCTTGCGTCTAAAGATTATGCTCCATAGAATATTCTGAAGTGGCTACTGAAGAATCTTGTGAAGTCAAGACACAAAGAGCCATTCTGTTCTCAGAAATGCCTACATTTATACTACTGAGAGTCTCGCACTTGTGTATGATATCTCCTGCTCTCTATCCTGCTGACTTCAATCTGGCGGGACTGCCACATGTCTTTGTACTCTGCACCGCACATGTGCATATGGTGCCTGCTAAATATAAATGCTGTTTGGCAGGATCCTTTTTTCTCTTCCTTTGTTTCTGAAAATGTAGTGAAGAAAATGTGTAATGTGTGCCCGCTCCAAAATGAGAGAGACTTTCAGGAAGTGGAATTATCTTGACAACAAGCCACACATTTTACATATTATTTCAGCGTGTGGCAGTAGTGGTGGCAGTGACTGTCTGCTGCTTTGTCTGGTCAAACTGGGAATGCTGATCTGGTTTGTAGCCTCTCTTCAACGGAGGTCAGGCAAATCCCTGCACTGCTGAACCATCTGCCTGGTTTTCAGGTTCTGCCCTCCCATCCTCCACCCAGGTACTAGTCAGGTTAGGCCAGTCTATGCTGCTGTAACAAACAACTCAAAGCTCTCAGAGGCATAACACAATATATCTGTATTTCCTGTTCATAGTACGTGTTCACCGTCAGTTGGCGGGCCGCTCATTATAGTCGCCCGGGACCCAGGCAGATGGAGGTGTCATCCTGATGTATGTGTCCACCACCACTGCAGCCATGGGGCAGGGATGTGACGAGCCACCTTCTGGCTATGAGATTTTGCCCTGGAAGTGGCACACATTACTTCTGCTCTCTCTTTATTAAACAAAGTGAGTCCCACTCTATGCCTAACATCAGAGAAGAACAGGGAAGTATGATCTCTCCATGTATCTGAAAGCCAGAGAGCTAGACGGATTTTGCTACTGGCATTAATGACATCCACGTCTCCTGCCAGAAGTAAGATGAGCGGGCAATCACTCTGCTATTGTCGGGGTGTCCAGGTACTTTCTAGGTGCACAAATGGTGCTGTTGAGAGGAAAGAGCAAGACATCACAGGTTAAAGCTATTCTATAAAGGCATCTCATAGAGTAGCACTGTCTTGAAACAGTGCTTAGACTTTTCAAGAAGTATCATAGCATAAAGAAACTTGGACCAAGGGCAGTAAGGTGAGGGACACAGAAGCACACAGATGCAGGCTCCACTGTGAGTCTCTGGAGCTGTGCCAAGGTCACACACAGCATCACGTCGGAATGGAGCAAATGTAGAAGTCAGTGGAATGGGGCTTGAGCCTTTCAGGAGCTGCCCTGCTGCCTGCTCTCTCTGCCAGGCTTCCCAGCGTCCCCGTGGGCTCTGCTCCTGCCAGGCGAGCCTGCTCTGACTTCTTTTGCTGGTGGCAGGACTTCAACAAAGCTGTGATTGCAGGGAGTGTGGTTTGTTAGATCTTAAGGACTGGAAGAAGTCCCAGAGCCACTTAGCAGGTGAAGAATCATGACTGTGTCTGAGCCAACTTCAGGGGCCTCACATCTCTGGACTGATTGCATCGAGCGCAGGAAAAGCCCGAAGGAGAAGTTCCGATCCGGAGGGCAGTTGAGGGGGCTTTGCCTGGTCGCACTCATCACAGCTGGCAGGGGCCGCGGGAGGAGAGGCAGCCAGCATGTGGCTTCTCATCACCTGCCCAGACAGATGACCCCGCCTCCGTAGGGGAGAGCGACAGAGAAGAGCAGCGGGGCTCTCTGGGGCAACCGAGGAGAGGCGACAAGACTAATTCGACTGTCCACGGCCGCTCAGCACAACGTGAAACTCAGCAGCTTTGAGCAGGATTCTGCTAATGAATGTGGAACCGAGGGACTGGCGGCCCCCTTTCCTCTGGTATTAACATTTTTTACTTTATTTTAATGAGGGAAATGAGATTCTTCTCAGTTTCCTATCACCAAACCCGGTTTGGGAGGACATGACATTTAACAACAGTGCTTTGAAAAATATTAAGCATTATACAAATACAAGGAATTGTTGCTATTATTATCCTGATGAAGCACACACGCAGCTTGGGATCAGCCTTAATATTGAGGGGGTATTTAAGGGATTAGGAAGGACTCTGTGACTATTGGGGAGTGACTCAGGATGGCCTTCATAGAAGGGGCCAACTAATCTGGCCATATTAAATCCATTTTTAGAAGCTAAATACCCAAACTCTGAGTCAATAAACCACCACACAGACATAGATCATAAAACTTGATCATCTCCCATCAGATGCAACAATCTCATAAATTATAAAATATATCAAGCGATTAATTCTAATTTGAGGCCATAACTTGATTAGCTTCTAGGTAGAAGGAGGAAATGGCTTTGGGTAGGAGCATTGGTCCCAAATTTCTTAATATATATTATAGATGTGGCCAAAGTGAAGTGGGGGGAGGAGCTGCATGGTGGACTCGGGGCTGCATCCAAATAATGCAGGAGAAAATGGTCCATTTTCTTTAAGTCAGATGTACTTTAAGTCAGATCCCAAAGGCTTTGAGAAACCACATTTAATCCTTACTAACCTGGGTGAATTAGGGATTAAGGTCAGTATGAACTAGTGAACTTTTGAATTACAGATTGTTTTGAAAGACATGTATTTGTGTCATTTTTCAAGTATGGAGAAATGCAAAAGTAATGGATAGGAGAGTGGGGTCAAATACAGGTCCATCCAGGCCTGCTTAACTATCCTAATTATCATTTACATGCAAATGATTAGTATCATTTAGAGTAACCTCACAATTCATTCTTTAAAACAGGTCTCTTATTTGCCTTTTATTTTAAAAAACTTAATACAGGGAGCATGCCCTTTTTTATTGTCCAGAAGAAAATCTCAGCCACGTTAAGGAGGAGGTATCCCAAACTGCTGATGTGCTTGTACAGATAGGAGACGTCAGAAGCCGAAACACCTGTCCCCACAGTCCCACTGCTCTCGCTGCCCCACATGCAGCAGGTGGAGGCTGCAATGGCTTTTTGAGGACTTCAAAGCCATCCGCTATTCTGGATAATAAAGTCAGTTACTGATTTGCTTAAAAATAGCCTACAATTTATCTAAATCCTTTCTATATATTGTTTCCTCACCTCCTAAGTCAGCCAGGGCAGTTCCTAGGCCACATGATAAAGCACATAAGGTCCTCACTGGAATCCTTTAGCCCGTCCTTGCGGCATTTTAGTTGCTTTGCTTGGCCCTTCAGTTTCCTCCATCTTCTCTCTGCTTTCTCTCGAGTGAGTACACAGACTTTAAGCCAACCAGGGGAAAGGCTCACGAGCGTTTTATTCATCTCTGAATTGTCCTTCGGAGTACCTGGGACATAGTAATGCCTTAGTACATGATTGCTGAAAGAGCGAATCAATGCATCTGTTAGCTCTTAGGACTGATAAACAAATTCCCAGTAAGCAGCAAATACTGATAGATTAATGTGTTGGGCATTTTAATGGGGAATAATCCTTATACCCATGGGAATGAGTTCTGTTTTGGACATTAAATACTGGAACAGGCAGGTAAATACTTTTACTCTGGGTAAGTGATTGTTGACTCAGCCACCTGGCTATAAGCTTTCTTTAAAAAATAATAGTAACAGCAACTACTACTACCAGTTCTTAAGCACCTGGTATGTGTCAGATATGTAATGAACTAACACTTTATTTTATGTGATCATCACAGTAACAACTTAAAGTAGTAATTCTCTCTCTCTCTCTCTCTCTTATTTTTTTTTTTTTAGTAATTTTTTTTAAAGACATTGATCACCCAGGCTGGTATCCAGTGGTATGATCATAGCTCACTGCAACCTCCAACTCCTAAGCTTAAATAATCCTCCTAAGTAGCTAGGACTACAGGAGTGCACCACCACACCTGACTAATTTTTTGTAGAAATGAGGGTCTTGCTATATTGCCCAGGCTGATCTCAAACTCCTAGCCTCAAGCAATCCTACTGTGTTGGCCTCCCAAGGTGCTGGGATTATAGGCATGAGCCACTATGTCCAGCCTATCTTTCTTTTATAAACAGAGAAATTGATGCTAAGTAAAGTCAAGTACTTGCCGAAGGTCACACAGTGCGTAAGTGGGGGTTTTTAAAGAATCAAGTTCTGATTCCAAATCAGTGTTCTTTCCACATTACTACTCTGCCTGTAGTTTCCACCACTGGAATTTACTAAATGCTGTTCTATTGAGCATGCCTTTAACGTGTTCCATCTGAGATCCCACATGGAATCCCAAATATTATGATTTCATGATAATCATTATCATCAACTTCCATCTATTATCAGCAAGACCCTAAATTCTTCTAAAACAAACAGGTGTTCATATAAACTTCATAACCCACCAAGGACCTGGAAATCTGGGTTCCATGTAATTTCTTCCTTCTTTGTAAATGCTTTGCATTAAATGTGTATTACTTTTCAAATAGATACATTTGGAAGTCAGAAACAAATTTCTTTTCAGGCTATGTTCAGATGATGTGGTTACTGCAGACATATACCATGGTCCTTGCTATCAAAGTGTCTGCAGTTCACTTGGGGACACAGCATTTATGTTTATAAATAAATAGTAATGTAAAGGCATTTCTGACACACTCGAATTAGGCATGCAAACAATAAACACCACCAGTGTTCAGAGGAAGGAGAGCTCAATGGACCAGAGCAGCTGGATAAGGTTTCACAGTAGAAATGCCACCCAAGCAGGCTCTGTGAGAGGGGAAGCCTTTCTAGGGTCCAAGGCCCTTCACCCTCTGAAGTTTTGCTGAAAACTCAGCTGACAAAAGGCACATTAATAGGATAAAAGCCATACAAATTTATCAATAGGCATGGAGGGATAATCACTCCCACCACAAAATAGGGTACAGATAGTTGTATATCCTTAGGAGAAAGGGAGATGGGAAGTGTGAATGATTTTAGGGGGATAGGAAATGATTTTTAGGGGAATTCAATGTGCTTAAAGAACACACAATGGGCTTGAAGAATGGCCTGGGACAAAGTCTGCTGGGCCCATAGAGCAAACAGTGGTCTGTGACAAAAGTCTGTCTAGGTGTGTTGACAGACTTCAGTTCTTCCTGCAGTATGAGTTCAGTGAACTCAAGGGAGAGATCAGAGGTAATTTTTTTCTTCTTTGGCAGGTCTGGACTTTAGGCAAATAAGGAAACTTCAGAGAGTAACTTCATCTTGTGCTTTGGGAGAGACAGAGGATTGAGAGACAGGAGTGGGGGAAAGAGAGGCTGCTTCAGTTCAGCATGTCAAAGCATCATATTTTGGGGTATTGGATTCTGAGCCCCAATATCTTGAATAAATGTAGAGTAGTAATGATAAGCATTCAGGTGTGACAGAGGACAGTGAATAGCCCTCTTCCCAATATCCACATTCACTGTTCTTATACTTCCTACTTAATTTGGCTACAGGCCTGGAAACAAAGGACTCTCATATGATGATCCTTTGTGCCTAAAGTTGCTTTTGATGTTAAACTTGTAAACCTTTATATGTTTGATTTATAAAAAGGAGATAGCATTTTCTCAGTCTGTGAAACTCACAATTATAGGGGATTGGGGGTTTAATCCTATGGTTATCTGAATCAGAGGACTGGATAGAATTTTCACTAATAATAAGTTACTAATAAATTAATATAAAGATAGTCAGAATGTAGCATTATACTTTATGATCAATTTTCTAGCTATCTAATCATCTGGAATATTCACCAAATTGTTAGCATTTTTTTTTTTAAAGAATTGCCTTTATTTTCCACTTTGCTGTCTTTATAGGGGCCATCCCTTGAATGAATGCATTATAGTGGACCCAGCAGGGTTTTTCTTTTCTCTGTTTTAAATGAAATACCTTCTATTGGACCAGATAATGCAAGATACAGTGGTGTTTTGTTACTGATAATAGAAAAGTTTTTCTGGGGGTTCCAGGACCTATTATTTGAGTTCAGCATTTCTGAATGTTTGCTCTGTGAAACATTAATTTCATGACATACTTCATAGTAAATAGGTTCCATGCTTAATTAAGTTTGAGAAATGTCCTTCACTTGGAAATCTGCAAAGCCCAGTAGCTTGTATATGGGCCCTGGTGAGTTCTGCTGCAGAGAAACCTTTTAAAACTTTGTTTAATTCAGTGTTTCCTAAAGTTATTTGGTCACAAGCAATCCCTATGCCCTCTCCCACTTTTTCCCCCCAGAAGACACCTATTATATTCAAGAGTCAGTCAAGAAGATGGAAACCACACTAGCTGTTTTAATAGAGAACATGTAATATACGGAATTGGTTAGCAGGTGTTACAGTACGGAAAAAACATGAAAGAGAACCCTGATGTACTCAGAGATAATAACTGCAGGGAGGAAAACATTTGGGGTTATGAAAAGCTTTGAGGAGGGGCCCTGCAGAGTTGGGGCTACATCTTTGCAGAGGGGGCCTCAGCCAACTGTTGCTTTAGTCCGGGACCATGAAGGCAAAGCTGCCTGGCCTCTGTCTACACCTCAGGAGCTCAGAGAAGGGGGCAGCAGGGAGCTGGGGGTTCAGATCACTGAGCCAGTGGCTCTGCCCAACTGTTGCCGGTGCCAGAGTAGGGTGTGATAAAACTGGTTCTGGAAGTGTGGGAAGAAGCTAAAAATGGAAAACAACTGCTACTGGGCCCAGCCTCTGCTGCCCAGGGTGAAGGGTCACAGATAAATCCTCCCTGACAGGAACAGCCAGTGGGCAAACAGGAATGAGCAAGTCCCTTCTCCTTCCTCCAGCCTTCTGATTTCTCTCTAGCAACGCTTATTGGCAGGACATAGCATGGAGCTTGGACAAAGGAGAAATGTGGCTTGCAGAATCTCTGACTCAGTGTGGAAATGTAGATGTGGAGCTCAAAATCAATAATTAATTACAATAGCAATTGTACAGGTAACTAAAAATAGCAATAGATATGATAATATATATTATATATAATAGTGTATATAGCTTGATTATTGTCATAGCTATTCCTTTAGCTACTCAGCATCCACATGCACCCTTCTTTGCATATTCCACCACCCTAGAGCAACAGTAACAACTCTATGCTTTTGCCTAACTAGATGCAAATATCCTTCCTGTGAGTAAAGAGGTTCCCATTCTCTCTCTCAGAAGGGCTGCCACAAATTCCCTTGTATCATTTCCAGGGAATGTTAACTATTCCTCAAATCAGTCACAGACCCACCTGAATGTTTTGTAACTAATGACTAAATTACAAAATTACCCACCACCAAAAATATTTATATAACATAATAAAGGGAAAGAAGTGGAAAAATAAATTTTGTTCAGAAACATATATAAATTTGTTAGAAATGCTATATTTTTAACTGCAACTGTTTAGCTTTCCTTAGGGTTGACTTAGACATCAAGCTTCTAGATCTTATCAGAGCCCAGTTATTCCTAAGATGGAGTAAAGTGGACAGTTGCCAATGCATCAGTGAATTTAAGCTGCGTAGATAACCAGTACACAAAGTTTATTTAGGCCACACATCTTTTGTCCCAGTCTCATCACAGTTGTTTCACGTGGATTAAACACACTTCATATCTAGTATTTGCCAGAACACCTCACAGGGGTAAGCTTTCTCATTGGTGATTGGTCCTGAGCTCTAAGCTAGAGATTTCCACTGGGAGCATTATTGACATGTAAACTCCTAGCAATAGACTTTGCAAAATGGAGGCTGTTGCTCTCTTGCTAAAGGACTCTAGTGAATGACCTGATGTGTCAATCTGAGAGCTGTAATGTAAAGTTTCAAACATTGGCTGCAGCAGCAGCTTTCTAAAGAAGTGTGACCTTCCCCAAGTACCCGCTAGGTTTGCAAAGCATTCTAACTTTCTTTGGGGTAATAACAGACACCTCCATTTGTTTAGCGGGAGGGCCAGCAACCAAGGGAGTAAGGAGAAAAGGTATAATGAGATCACAGAACTTGGTTTCAGCTATAACTAGTAGCACTCTACTCCCTGTAGAGAGTAATTTGCATCTTAATGCAC